GCGCGACGACATTGAAATTTTTATGCATTCGCATCTTTGTCGCCCTCTAATTTGTATGGATTTCTTTATGCACTTCTTCAATCTACTACGCTGCTGCTTTTTACCGATTTTTTTCGGTGCTTCTTCAACTTTTTTGCAAACTTTTTGTTTCATTTTGCGCGCAATTATAATTTCGTGAGACATGCGAAAAATAAAAAAAAACAAGTAAAAAATAAATAAAAAAATAAAGCATACCAAAGGGAACCACAAAAAAAAAAACAAATAAATTGCGAAAAATAAAAAGTAATCTGACAAAAATGTCATGGAAGCAAACAAAAAATGCATGCAACAAACAAAATTGCTTCCCGAAAAATTATTCATAATGACAGCGGCAGACAGGACCTGCTGGGCAGAGTAGCGATTGGGAGTGCAATAAAGTGCAAGTAGCGGGCATGCAACCAAGGTGGGAAAAGCACATAGAATGGTGGCGGTGGCGTTTTCAGCAGCGATGATAATGACAAATATATACTTAGCTACAGCAGAAGAATGGAAGCGCAGAAAAAATGTGGAAAGTTGTAAGCATGAGGTAATTTACTGTAGCAGTCAACTGCGTATTACTTCAACCGTGTTTTTTTCTTACAAGCTTCACCCTCTGGAGTTTTTGTCTCAGAAACGTGACGTTTATGCGCTTTTTTGTATAGAGTTGAGTGACCTATGCTCGAAAATCTTGAAAATCTTGAAAATCGTATCAAGCTAAGGTTCTCCTCTACCAAGTTAGTGCAGACTTTTGTATTCTGCCAATCTGCATTATTGCTACTCAGTATTATTATTATTATTTGAAGAGTGTATTTTAAACTCTCTTTTTATGCATTCTTTTGCCCACAACCTAAAACCTTCAGCTTTTCAGCCTTCAACTTTACTAGTACCAAAATCTCAAAATCCCTTAAAAATTCACCTAACAAACTTCAAAAGCTTGTTGGCTGTTTCAACGCCAGTCATTTTTATATATCATCATGAAAAAAATCATCATCGGCATATCATTTACAGTTAATGAAAGAATATCGAACAGTAAAGGAATAAAAATGAAAGCATAAAATTGTACATAATGACATATTGACTCTAAATGTTGCAGAGAAAACGAAGCTGTAGCAACAGACAACTTTTGTGCTCGACTAGAGATGCAGCACAATCTGTCATACGAAGCTTAACCTCTGAGTTTGTGCAGCTTGCCTATACTCCAACCCCAAATTCAGTTCATTTGCTTTTTGTTATAAAGAAAGATTGACATCAAACAATGTAAAAAGTAGTAACTTGGCACGTAAGTTCGAAAAACAACTCTCTGACAAAAATTGTCTAATTTTTTGCTTTTTCTTTCGTTTTCGGTGCCATTTTGATTTTTTTGAGTAAATTGTAAGCGGTGTAATGCTCATGTTGTTAGCCAAAATCTCTACCTGACAGAGCTTTGACGATTTTTATCATTTCTTCAAAACCAAAATTTTTTTTTGTAACTTTTTAAAGCAGAGCAGTATAGAGCAAAGTCTGTACGTGTTTGAGTCTGTGTCTGTAAGTGTTTGTTCCTGCTTCTAATTGCGAAGAGTTTTAAATAGCATCTGTTGGACTTTACTGGCAGCTTTTTCACAACAGAAAGTTTTAAATAACTTCGATGTTTGGTATAACCTATCAATGAGCCATCGAACCATTATATGTTTAATCTTAGATTTTAGGATTTGAGCTCATCCAGAGGTAGCCTACAGTGTACTCCACAGCGGTGTCAATATTTATGTGAACAGTGTTTTCACTTTTTTTAATTTAAAATGTATACATCTGGCTTATCCTATCACTGATGTTACTGATATCACATTTATCTTTAAAGCTTAACAATTCTTTATTACCCAATGCAGAACCATTTTATAGAATACATCGCTGGTGTTTGTGATTTAATTCGCCTTAGAAAAGTTCTCCTGCGTCTATAATCATGTTTTCAAGCAATTTGAAGAAACCATTATACTGTTAGGGGTTACATTTTTTTGGTTTTTTGTTTGTCGTCTAGGGCAAAAATTAGACAGTTTGATTTGAAACATAATCAATTAGATATTTCATTCAATACATTCTGGAAACAACCAACTGAAAAAGAATTCCTAAACTTTTTTAATTTTGATTGAGTCTTCTCCGAAGTTCTTGCCCAATGGAATATTTACTATCGACAGTTTCCAATTTCATTACACTAAAGATGTGCTATCATTTTAAGAGCTTGTTCCCTGGTTGTACTCATTGTGGTCTGGACAATAAACGGACATTTATTTATGAATCCCTACTTTTCATATAACCTGTATTTTTAATAAGAGAACCTTTAGTTTCCACAGATCTTTTTTTGTTTTAGTCGTATTACCAATGTTCTTATATCATTAAGATTGAGGCGGCGTAAAAACTTCCTAAAGGGTTTTAAGAAATGTTGAGAGTCTGTGGCCGGATACAAATCTGGTTCCGTAACGATTACGTGAGTCCCATAATCGTGGAGATGGTATGTACAGATATATATGCTTTGATGCTTTTAAGCGAACAAACTGCTTTGGACTTTTTGATGAACTTTTTTGAAGTTCCGTTACTAATTGTTTTCTCCACCTTGCGTTACAAATTTGCATATATGGTATACGATACGTCATCCTTTTCTGAGTAGATTCTCGACAAGTTGAAATTATTAGAGGTTAGGTCTGGTGTTATAATTTTTTTCTTTTTGGCTTTTGCCTTTACAATATACATATCTGCGCATAATTATTTTGCTCAGGTGCATGCTCGTTTTAAGCTGTAAAGCTTTGCTTTAAGAGCGTCTCATTGATGAAATTCGGTTGCATATGTGACTGAAAGGAATGCCTGGTACACATGTACTCGCATTGTAAACAAATGGGTTTTGTAAATTTTTTGTACTTTCTTTTAAAGCTGTTTCGCACTTCATAATAACGAAAAATGAAAAACACAAAAAATATTGTAGATGAAAATGAGAAACGTCTAAAATATTCTTAGCCACGATTTTGTGCTTAGCGACTTGCCGACACTGAAATTAATGCATATTTCATACAGCCGCGTACAGACGAACAACAACAATAAACAAACCCAAAAGCGAAATACAGAAAAAGAAGCAAAAAGAATCAAAACGAAACTGTGGCAAGTACAGCATAGCAATGGCGTTGCTGCAGACGCACAACATCAACAATTAAAAGAGTGCAGACAAGGACTCACGGCGCGAGTCGGGACCAATGCATGCATATACCATACATACAAATATCTCTATGAATCCGCACCTGGTGCCTGAGGGGTTGGGGGGCGAGGCAAGGTGAAATGAATTGAGCACAATTGCGCTGACAACATTGCGCGCGTTCGCGACTGCCACCAGAGGATCAAGGTGTGATTTCACAAAAAATCAAAAACAACAAAAAATGGGAATAAACAAATACAATAACACGAAATTGTGTACAATAAAATAAAAATGTATGCATGTGAGTGGTGAAGAGAAAAAAATGCGAAACAAAAGCTATGAGGCAAACGGCACTGGTGAATAACTGCCGAAAAAATGATGGCAGGCTACCGCTAGACAGGTGTAGGAGCCCTGGAAGCGCCGTCGCGACATTTTGAAAGTGAAGCTCCTCTCGTGTGTGTGTGTGTGTTTGTAGGTGTTGGTGTGGGTGTAGCAAATATGGTAAATTGGAGTGTTGATAAACATTCAAGTGCAGTGCTGTTGAGCTGTGAGAATGCCAAGCGGAGTTACACACACAAATGCATATTTTTTCGTGTGTTCTCGTATGTGTAGGTATGTATGCATTCATAGGTGCGAACTCTGATAGCAACAATAATAGCGCTTGCAGACAGGTATGATGCACTGCTTTCACAACAAACACACATACATACACATCCATGTACCTAATGTATGTGTGTTGGTGCGCTATCTGCACTTCGGAAGTGTTTTTGTATTGTAAACAACATCCGCTATGTGTGAAAGTGGTATTAAAAATGGGAGTTAAGCATTTAAACAAATTGAAATACAACACTGTTAACGGAATATGAAAACGAAGCAACGGTAGTTGGTACCAACAAAAAATATGATGAAAATAATAATAAAAACACAGAAAAACGTTAACTTCGACTGCACCGAAGCTATAATACCCTTCACACTTGCATTTCTTATAGCATGAAAGGGTATAATATTATGTTTATCTTTATTTAGATCGGTCAATTTGTATAGCAACAACTGCAAATAAAGATATGAATTATAAGCTTCAAATGACAGGATCTCTGGCAATATAACAGTTCCAAAATTATTACCTTCGGATTGCTTCATCATTTTGCCATTAATGAGCCATGTTTTGCTTAATATAAGACTAGTCGTACCAAAAGACCTATTTCGAGAGGTCATAAAGAAAATTTTAGAAAAAATGCTTCCACAAAAGTGGGAAAAGTTTCATTGCAAAATTCAAAGAGATATCATATAATAGTATTTGATATTAGTAAATAAAACCAGAAGCTAGTTTTGCCCCACGACTTTGCAACTTTTTATTTACAGTGGGTTGAAAGTTGAGTGTTTTGATCAAAATGAAGTTCTATATAACTACAAAAATTTTTTGCTGATACTTATTTAAGGTTGGAATTGGTCTTAAGGGACCTATGTATAGGCACACATTTATTAGAGAAATATTTTTCCAAAGCTTTTTAATCCTCTTAGAACTACTTATGCGGAACGTTTCGAAAATTTATTTTTTAACCAAAAATAAAAGGTATTATAGAGAAAGGCGAAGAATTAATATCATTTTAATCTTCTGAGACTCACTTATATGAATTGTTTATTTGTAAATTACCCAATAATAATTGGGGAAAAAAAGTGTAGACTTAATATCGATCATAGAAATTTTTTTTTAGAAAATTTCATAGGGTTTTCAAAACCGAGTCTGCTAAGAAGAAACGGCGCACCTAAATGGTGTAATCAACAGCAATTTCTATAAATTTTGTAATATTCTTCGAAAATCACTTACCGCACTGACTTCAAATCGCCACTAATAGATGAATTTGGCGATGGTTTCGAACTAAGATCTAAGGGTTGTTCACCGGTGGCATCACTGGGACTGGGCGAATCCTTGAGTGGTGGACTAACAGCGGCGGCCGATGTCTCTGAGGTAGTTGGTGTCGCCGAGCTTATTTGCTGTTGCTGTTGCTGCTGCTGTTGCTGTTGTTGTGGCTGTGGCTGTGTTTGTTGTTGTATCGGTGCGGGATGTGGCTGCTGCTCTTGCTGTTGCTGTTGTTGCATCAATTGTAGCCAATTAAAATCTGCGTTTATCATTTGAAAAAAAAAAGCAAAAATAACATTTAAATATATATATTTGACTGCAATGCCACGCTAAGTGGCATCTGCTTATGACGCCTTCACACTTACTTGGGTAACCAGAAATGACTGCTAACTGCGCGGCCATTGAGTCCATTGAAGTCATATTCGCTGGCAAATCAACTAAACGTGTCGTCAACAGCTTGTTCCAGTCGATGCGATTGTTATTATTATTATTATTGTTGTTGTTATTGTTAATGTTATTCGTACTGTTGCTGTTGTTATTGTGGTTACCAATAGGCGCAGTTGTTGTATTATTCACCAAATTCACATGTGCTGATTCATTCGAATCACTATCGGTCTCAAGCTGCTTGTTTTTCGTTTATTTTTGACACGAATCGAAAGAAAGAGCACAAAAATTGCGTATAACAGTAAAAATGTGAATATGCATTTTCTTTGTTAAATTAATATTACTGTAATTTTTTTGTTTTTACTTTTATAAAATTATCTGCGGTGTGCTTTCCCAGTTCGTGTACTTTGGTTAAAGAATTTAATAATTGTATGCAAAAATTGGGGTTTGAAGTAGTTGCGCTTGATAGAAGTCACCAATACGTATAACAGTGTAAATTCACCGCAAATAATTGCATCACTAATTGTGTACAAATTATTATTTTTAGATTCATAAGTAATTAAAATTAGAGTTTTTTGTGATTTACCGAAAGCTTAGTTGTGGCAATTGGTTTATAAATAAAAATAAACAATTTACAAATATCTTCTGATCGAAATTAAAGAGTAACTGAACTTAAAAAAAGGGTTTGTTTAACATTATATGCATATAGTTGTACTTTTTTGTGGTGGTTTCTAAGCATTTTTAACGAAAATTATTAGTATACTAATTTATATAAACATTTTTAACATTAAAAATCTCATATTGTCATCCCTAAGCTACTAAATTCTAGAGCGTTAGGAATAGAAAAATGAAGTTTCGTGAAAAGGTGGGGGAAACATCTTAGCTAAAATTACCTTACTTATAATTACACTTAGATATAATAGCCCTAAGCAAGTGATACAAAATCATAACTTTTTTGTTAACCGAAATAATATTGAATGGCCTTAGACAAAATCTTAAGATAACAAAAAATACTTGTATGTATATAAAACACCAACCCTGTGAACGTGTTCCACTGGATCGCCGCCGACGGCGGACACAATGGGGCCCGCCGGCTCGGCTACAAGTTCGCCCTTCGCGTTCACCGTGAGTAATCTGCCGTCCACGCAAAAGTAACACTTCTCATTCGGTTTCCAATCGACCGGTTCAACGGTGGGCGTACGCTGCCTCTCAAGCACTTCAGTGACTCGCTGCGGTGGATGCGTTGACGGTGGTGATGTAGTTACACTTGACAAGCTATTTTGATTGGCGTTAACGCTTGTGATGTTTGTTGGTGTGTTTTTGTGTGATGAATTTGTTGCTTTTATTGATGTATTATTTTTGTTGTTGTTGTTGCCGCAATTTGTCTTATTGTTTAATGTTAAACTATTACTGTTATTACGTTGAAGTTGGTTGTGATTATGTGATGTTGTTGTATTGTCTAACAAAATAAGGAATGAAAAATATGTGAAGCAAAATAATATTACGGAGAGGTATATAATCATTTTTTAAAAGAATATTTAAAAATAAGAATTTTTAGGTTGCTCTTTATATGTATTGAATGGGGAGCCTAACTTCGCTAAAATGAGTCAGGCGCCTGAATGTAGGCCACATTTATTATTAATTTGGAATTACTCTTAAGCTAATGGATATGTTCGCAAAGGAATGAGTGTCGTAGCAAAGATAGTATGTTTTCAATACCGCATTTGAAATGTATTCTCTCATTTTCGGAAACTCCTCAACCAAAAAATTGAACTCTACATCATAATCTTTGAAAACTATTCTAAATAAAAAAAGAAAAAAAATATTAATACTCTTCGGTGCCTGTATAAGTAATCTTTATGTTGATTTTGATCGGCCAGTTTGTATGACAGCTATATGCTATAGTGGTTTGGTCAGAAAAATATGTTTGCAGATTGTAGTATAACCTTCGAAAATAATCCATGCAAAATTTCGTGAGAATATCTACACAAATATAAAAGTTTTCCATACAATGACTTGGTTTTGATCGATCATTTTGTATGATGGTTGTGTCCTAAACCACACCAATAAGGGCACCAATAAGGGCACAAATAAGTAACCTCTTGGAAAGGAAAAAATGTGAAAATTCCAGATCGATATCTCAAAACCGAGAGGTGGGTTCACATACAGACGATCTTAGCTCGTGACGCTGAGCATTTATATATGTATATACTTTCTATGGTCTCCACCGTTTCCTTCTGTGTTCTGTTCAGGGTATGAAAATAGTCTATTTATGCTCACCTGCAACAGCTTGCACCTCCCAATCCTCCTTACCCTTTATGTAATCTTCTACGCAGTTGCTTTGATGCGTATTTCCTTTGTTTTGTTGCTGTTCTTCGTTCGTTTCGCCTCCGACTGTGCGCTCGTGTGTCTGCTGGTATTGAAGATTGTGTTGGCTGTTGTTGTTGTCTGTTGCAGTGCCGTTGCTTTGGCCGTATATTGGTGATGTTGTTAACTGCGCACTTTTGGCGTCTGCGAGATCGTTGATCAATTTTAGTTGCTGCAAATATGTCTGTTCCTCTACAGGCTGATCGTTGCGTTTGTGTTGATCGTACTCTGTGGATGTTTGCCGTTCTACTGGGATTTGTGGGGCTACTGAGGTCGCTGCTGTACTGGCGGCAGCTGTTGCTGCTGGCAATTCTGCTGTTGCTGCTGTTTCGGCTGGCGATTGTACGGTATGATTTGTATGGACGCGCGTAGTTAATGGCTCTTGATATTGCTTCCATTTCATGCGTTCCATCAACTCCTCAGCGATCCGTTCTAAGCCTGTAGTCAAAGGGAAGAAAATTCATAAAAAATTCATTAAAATCGATTACTTTCTGCAGGAATTAAATTAACTACTTAAAGTGCTAATTAAAAGTTGTGTGAGCAAAAAAAGAGTGTAAAGTAATGCAGTAAGGTAGCAATTATTAACGGTAATTGATGTCATTGACATCGCTAGTGGGAAGTATTAAAATATCTTCTGATATTATGATGTATATTTATGCCTATCATATACATTGGTATAATGCCATTTGTGTATAAATTATTTATTCGCAATTTGAGTGCCACGCCCCTAACTAAAACTTTGCGCGCTCACTTTGCTACAGCCAATAGGTCCACGTAGGTGAAAACTCATATTTTTTGCACTCTAAAAAATCGAGTTTATTGCGTCGCTTCTGCTTCATTCCCACTAAGCGTGTGACGTTCGCAATCTGTTCGGAATCCTAAATAATAAAATGCAAAATATTGAAATCAAATAGAGCCACCGCTGAATATGTGTAACCTATGTGTGTATACCAATCTATCTCGCGAACCCCTATAAAATATTCAGCAGCGAAATGCCCAACTATTAACTGCATTGATACCAGTAATAATTTTCACAACCAATCGCCTTATGTCTGCATAAAACTGGTAGTCATCGTAATGAAAAAAATGCTTTTTTTTCAAAGTCATTCTTAGGTCTAGTATTAAACCAATCAACACATAAAATGGTAATTCCTATATAAATACTTAAGTCAATTTTTAATGTCTTAACCATGTTTTTTTAGAAGAGAGTGCAATTTTGTATTTCAAAGTGTGTTTCGCAATCCCCTACGCTGCCCCTACTGCTTTAATTTTACTAATAAACCGTGAGTAAAGAGGATGTGTGTGTTATACAAGGGTTTCGGACGATTCACATTGCTACACAATTGAAGGAATTGCTTGCCTTTATTTTTTAATTTATTTATTTTAAGTTTTGGCCTTCGTATTGTAATGAAATCCTTAAAATTTATGTTCTCAAAATAAGAAAAAAACATAAAGTTTAATAAAAAAATTCGATTAATTTGTATCGAAAAATAAAATCGTTCATTTTGATATTTTATTAAATTTCTAACGATAGTTCTTCAATATATAATTAACACTTCGAAGTCGATTAAAAAATTAAAATAAAATATCGATTGATTGTTATCGTTATTAATCTTTTAAAGTTAGAACTTAAAAATAAAAATATTAATAAAATAATAATACTGGATTGAAGCTGATTCTAGAAAGCTACAAGCTCCACCATCCTATCGCTTTAAGAACCGTTATTGGCTCTTGTAAAATTTAAATTTTTTTATAAAAAAAATATTTTTAAATATTAACAGATGCTTCGATTATAGAAAAAATTGCTTGGCTTTCGTTGAAAACCCATATTTGCGTGTAAAAAATTCTTATTATGAACATATTACAAGGATAAATCCACACGCACATCCTTTGCCAAACTGTAATTATTGTGAAATTCCTTCAAATTAAAAATATCATAAAAACCGAAATGTAGGAAATGGCAGTATGATTGCAAAATGGCTGCAATTTGATGCAAGTGCCAATCAAAACGACGACGCACATCAAAAAACGAATGCAAAAGTAAATACTGGAAGCAAACGAAAATAAAGTAGAATTAAAGCAGGCAAATAATACAGAAGAGCGTAGCGATGGTAAAGTGTGTAAGGGCGTGGCGGTGCAAAGAAATCCTCAAAATTCCATGCATGCGTGAGCAAAATTAAAACTTGCCACACACACACACACATATATGACTCGGCTGAGAGAGTGAGACGCCTGTAGGGCATGGTGGGGACGAGTGTTACGCACACACTCAAAAGAAATTATATGAAATTTGCCACGCAAGTAAATAAAAAATTAAAAACTGCAGCGGCTAAGTTGCACTTGCCCCATGTGTAACGCTTACAACAGCCAAACCAAAGCCAAAGCACAGTGTTGCATTCGATGAATATAATAGCCGCTTTAAATACGCATATGTTAGTGCTGCGAAAAAATATGAGTTACGCATGAGGCATATTGATGGAACGCACTACAAGCGCCTAGCTTGGCTTAACCCAGACGCTTAGCGGCGCCTTCACGCACAGAGGGGGCGGCAAGGGCGTTGGGGCTGGCGACGATGACGGCTTAAGGAGTCGCAAGGTAAAAGCTTTTGTGGCAGCATTTCTACACTCGCACTTGTGCGCACTCAGCGGCAGACACAGCCGCGCGGGTGACGGCGCGGTGAGGGGCGACTAAGCGACTAAGCGAAGCAGCCAAACAAGCAAGCAATGCATTCTCAGACTCCCAGCGCTCCTGCTAACTCGGGTGTGGTGCATGTTGGCAGCTAGTGCAATGGCTGGCTCAAGCGAAAGTTGCAAGAATGGTAGAATTTTTTCGTGCCACACAGGAAGTGCAACTAACTAGTTGTGTTGGTAAGCGGAGCGACATCGTCAGTACTGCAATACTGCACCTGGCACATAACCTGCTGACTGGCCCCTCCGCCGCGTATGCCCGTAACGTGCCACAGCCATGCGTGTCGAGCGTGCGTGCACTTTTGGCCACGAAAAAAAGGGAGCAAACCGGGTTAGCAGTGGTGGCAACAACTGGCACGCTGACGAGATGGTGGCGCATAATGGCGCCATGTTGCACATTGCAATAGTGGTAAGGGTGGTGCATTGCGCAGTTGCTGGTTGCACGTTGTACGTTGCACGTTTGGCATTTAGCGCACTGCTGCCTTTCATTCCGGAACAAGTTGAACGTGTGAGCGGCAAAAGTTTCGAATAAAAATTAAATATTTTGCTACGCACACTAGGCAAATATGTGCACACGCACGTGCTCACACACACATATATATATATATACATGCACACAGCAACGGTTAAGCAAACATGCACGCATTCACACACGCAAATGCTAAAAAATGTAAATAAAAGTAGGAAGCCCATGCAACAAAAACAAACAGCGCCTGCAACAGCCAGTGCAACTTGCAGCTGCTGCAACAACACATACAAAAGCGGTTGCGTAGCATGAAATTAAATGCAATGCAGGCGGGAAGGTGGCACAATGAATTTGCAATGGCAACTGGCAAATTCAATTGCAACAGCAACAACAACTACTACAGCGCTACCGCCAACCACCTAAACTCGAAAAATTTACCAGCATTTGTTCGGTTGACTCGCTCGGCCCGGGCACTATTGCTGAGGTTAATGGCCTCCGCATACTTTTTGAAACTCAAACTTCTCAAAAACGCAACAAATTTTTTGTATGGCAACGAAAAAATGGGGAAAAAGTGCATAGCAAAACTGGCTCACGCAAACATACGCATTGTGTGTATTGCAACAAAAAAAAAAGTTGTGTAAAAAGCTCTACAACGGGGTTGTTGGTGCTACAAGCCAACACTGCCTCAAATCCACATACGCATTATTAAAAAAAGAGAGAAAACGGGAGAATTAATAATGCCTGTCAAGTATGCCAATAAACACGTTGGAGAGTCTTAAAAAGAGTGATAAGCTATCAATTTCCAATAATTTCTCTTAAATTGATGTCTGCCAGCTAAGTCTTTCTGTTGACAACTTCATTATCTTAAGCCTTGCCTCACTTTGACTTTGGCCTTGGTTAGTGTTCGCAGAATAACTTCTCATCAATGGGATCATATCTCTTTATTATATCAACCTGTTAATTTTGATTGCCGTTTTTAATAATAATTTTTACAAAATATACCTTAAAGGCAGCAAGTTATCGATTAATGAAAAATTTCAGGGCGAAAAGAGCATCATTAAATTATCTCAGCCTTATGAATTGCAATTTACTACTTTTAACTGTTAATGTAATAGGAGTTCTTACGGGCTAAGAATTTTTGATATTTTTTCAGCAAATCCTTCTCGACTTTGCTAAAACTAAGAATAAAGTTTTCTTCATCCCGGAAAAAAAATCGTGTTAGAATATTTGTAATATTTGCGATGATTACTGGTTATCCACAAAATCTGTCCTTACCAAATCTTATATTAACTAAATATAGTAAAATTTTTTGACTGCGATGTCGATACAATAATTAGAAAATAAACTACCATGGAAATATTTATTTACTGAAACTTTGCAAAATTGTACAAATTATCGATGAAAATTCGTAAACAAGTCAAAAATTTCAACCCAACGCCACCTAGCGTAAGCTTTTGGTAAAGATAAATTTCAAAAATTTATTCGCCAACTTAAAAAATAATAATAAAGCAAAACTTTCCAAAATAAATTATAACACAAGGTTAAAACTTTCCGACTATTGTAGCATTATTTCAAAAAGCGAGGTATTCAAAAAATAATTCTTAACCTAATCATACTATTTTTTGAAGAAAAATAACAACACAGCGTCAACTAGTGTGAGCTTTTGGTAAAAATAAAGATTAAATATATATTTTTCGATTCAAACAAAGAAATATCCCACTTTTTTGTATTTCTTATTGAATTTCGTTAAATTGTGTTTACAATGTTATAGCTTTTAATCTCATACAAAATATAAGACATTTTAGTTAAAAAGCCTTTTAGCTGCTTTATATATTTTTATACGCTGTATAGGCTATATTAAGTTTGTCACGAAGTTTATAACCCCAAGAAGAGAATGTCGGAGACTCTATAAAATATATATATATAAATGATCAGTGTGACTAGCTGAGTCGATTTTGCTATACCCGTCTGTCAATTTGGCATACATCTTTCACTCCCCAAGAAGTTGCACATTTGCCGGAACCGCGGCGTTTGTTATTTGTGCAGCATATTTTAGCTTCGATGCAACCGAAGTTAACGTGCTTTCTTGTTCGAACTGCAGTAGTCAAATATACCTATACAATTATGAATGCCTATGAAAAATTTTAAACATATATTTAAAGTTATTATTATTGGTTCTCAAATAATTAGTTGTAAATAACTTTTCCATAACGTTTTCTCTGGTGCAGATTTGATGGGACTTCAAAAGATTTTTAGAGCTCTACTACTTTACTATTTTTATTGGT